TATATCAGTTTGATATACGTTATATACGAAAGTATATTATTTTCTCCCCTCACAAGTGGTTCAGGGTCAGGAACCAAATAATTCCATCTTATTATTATTGATGTGCGATGTATATTTTGATTAACACCACACCACACAAAGGTGAGTTTCCAAAATTGAGGAAGAAAGTTAGCTTTTCTAACATGAGGGGGAGACATGATAAACAGTTGAGAAAAAGTTACGTCGAATGAATTATCATTTGTACATCTAGATCCTCGAATAAGATAATATGAACTTGAGGTTCATAAAAAAGATAATTCATTGCAATATATTGCAAAGCATGTCAGACGCATTTGCTGACCCAAAGAAAGTAATTATATTCTCATTGATGCTCATATTAAGTCCTAGAAGGACGAAGTCTATGGCACGCTTAAAGCGTATAGACAATCGGTTTCAAATAAACTTCTTGATAAAGAAGATGAGCAAATGATCAAAATGATCATAATAAAGGAGGCAAGTGATCTAGAAGATCACATGACATAACACTTCATAAAATCTCATGAGAGATTCAGGTACCTGAATATATGAATGAAAAGATACTATGTTATGTCTTTATGAATAATAAGGAGGTTGGAACCGATATAAAATATTTGTCGACGACATCTATGATAGAGCTAAATATATATATGAGGATCTTAAGTATGGAGAAACAATTCGAATAGAATTGGTTTCATATAAAAGACATGTAGTTTTGGACATGCAGTTCAATCACTCGAAAGTACAAAGTCAATGGTATGTGCAATCAGTTTTCAATATCTTATTTGTCTAGCATTACATGAAAACTTGATATGCAATTAAAGTCTATTATATGACTTATATGACTTAACTTATATGACAATCCTTGAAAGATTTAAATTACTTAAAGCATATAAAATTCTTGGTCCTGAAGTACCATATTCCAAGTGTAATTTGTGCACAAATATATCTTGCTATAACTATATGCATGATAATACGATAGCAAGAGTTTTCTCCTCTATGTGAAGATATTGAACTGACGATTCCAACAAGATCATATGAAGTATTAGGGATGATGAATTCAAGGTGAAACAAATTCGTTCAAGTTAATATGGATGATTTGTTTATCAAATCTCTACCAAAGATCTTTTGAAGATGGTGCACAAGATTGGAATGCAAAGGCTCAAGGATGTGAATTGATGCTCTCATCAGGGGGAGTTAATGCGCGTTGCACTCTTTTTCCCTTACAAGGTTTTGTTCTACTGGGTTTTCCTTGCAAGGTTTTTAATGAGGCAACCAAAAGGCATATTGTAGATATGTGTACTCTTTTTCCTTCTCTAGAATTTTTTTCCACTGGGTTTTATTTTAGTTAAGGTTTTAACGAGGCACATTATCTGTTGAATAGATATTCAAGGGGGAGTGTAATAAATAGAATTTTATTTATGGTGAATATCTATATTTAGAGAGATTCTAGGGTTTATTACTTGGTGGCTAAGTCATCCTCTCCCTATGAATAGAGGGTTCTATTCCATTGTAATTCATCCCAAATCAATAAGAATTCTCTCCCTCTACTTTTCTCTGCAATACTCTTCTTCTACTTTTATTATTTCATAACAATATTATTGATATGTTTGTCTCATATTTTGGGATTCTCTGTAGTTATTTAGAATGATATCAGTGTGATTTGAGCTAATTATGCGATCCAAGCGTCCGGGGAGGTTTGAGTTGTGCAAAGCTAGGGAAGGCATCCCCCCATTGTATGTGGTGCTCGCGGAAGGCACGTAGCTCGTCTACTGTTTGTCAAGAGCGAGCGACTGGGACCTACCTCCCAGTTATCCCATTCGACCCGGATTTTGTTGATGCACCCTCCTATTTACCCTAGACCATATATAAACACCAAGAAATATCCTTTCGAAGGGGGATACACGCTGCTAAGCCAGGAATACGCAAGGAACAATTGAGCCAGAGATTTGACAACGAGTTTTTGCTTTCTTCTGTTCTCTTTTTTAATTTATATATTTTTACAATTTTTTGGAGACGAACACTATGTGTGGCTAGCTTCCTTATTTCCTTGGTTGTGGTTAGTTCATGAATATTATTGTTTAATAGTTATTTCTCCTTTAATGTGAATTTATATCACAAGGTTATTTCTTTAACTCTGTGCATAATTGCTTTATTGTCTTGCCAACTGTTAAGTTCTATTAACTATCGTGGTTATGCTTGAGAAAGCCGTTCTTAAATTAGAGAAGCGTTAAAGAGAGTATGATATTATCCCTATAGTTAGGAGGCGAATTTGTGGTTAGGATATAGATATATCTAATCACCCCACTTAATTATATATCGTGATCTCAATGCATTCTTATTAAATTAATCCATAGGAATACAGACATTACTATATCCTGAGTGGATGAGTAGTAATTCGAGAGAATACTATAAGTAACTTTAGTCTAGTTAATTAGCAACCATAGGTTATTCGAGTTGAAGGGGAATAATTAGAACATAATAGGATTGGTGTACCCATTAAAATCATACAATATTAATTTATTATAACGACCTGGCCGGTCGTTTCATTAGTTACAGCCCCGTTTTCCCCATTTCTGCTTCTTTATGTACTGTTCAGCTGTATTTCGTCATATCGTGTTGGTTGGTTCGGGTTCGGAGTGGTCTTGGAGTGGAATGAGACACTTAGTCTCTTATCTAGAAGCTTAAGTTGGAAAAGTCAACCTGATGCTGATTTATGTATAGAAGGTCTCGGATGTGAATTCTGATGGTTCGGATAGCTTCGTTAGGTGATTTTGAACTTAGGAGCGTGTTCGAAATATAACTTGGAGGTCCGTGGTAGATTTAGGCTTGAATTGGCGAAATTAGAAATTTGGCGTTTTCCTGTCGGCAGTGGAAATCTTGATATCGGGGTCGGAATGGAATTCCAGAAATTGGAGTAGATCTGTTATGTCATTTTTGATGTGTATACAAAATTTCAGGTCATTCGGATGAGGTTTGATAGGTTTGGCATCGTTTGGGGAATTCCGAAGTTTGGAAATCCTTAGGCTTGAATCCGAAGGTGGTTTGGTATTTTGATGTTTTCTTGAGTGTTCCGAAGGTTGGAATAAGTTTCAATGGTGATATGTGACTTGTGGGTAACTTTGGTTGGGGTCCCAAGGGCCTCAGGATGAATTCGGATGGTTGATGGATTGGTTGTTGAGGTTTGAGAGTTGATGAAATTGCTGGTCTGTTTCAGCTGTCATAACACCTGCAGAGTGGGAACTGCAAGTGTGGGAACGCAGAAGCGGAGGAACAGCCGCAGAAGCGGCCATAGCTGAGAGGCAAGAGTCGCAGGTGCAAATAGGGTACCGCACCTGCGAGACCGCAGGAGCGAGAAGTTGATCGCAGAAGCGGGTTCTGGGATTTAAGTGAGGACCTCACCTGCGATGGATTTTTTGCAGGTGCGGCATCGCAGATGCGACCAGAGGACCGCAGATGCGGAAGTGCTGGGCAGAAAGTATATAAGTTCTCCTTCGCGAATTTCTACCATTTCTTCACCATTTTTGGACGAGTTGGAGCTTGGGGGTTGCGATTTCAAGAGGGAATCAAGGGTTTTCAGTAAGGTAAGCTACTCGGGCTTTGTATTTTGTGTTTATGGTGATTATTCCATGGTTTAATCATGATTTTAGTGGGAAACTAGGGAAGAAATTTGGGGGATTAGTGCTTGAAATTGGAGAGTTTAAATTGGGGATTTGAGGTCCAATTTTGATGATTTTGGTATGTATAGACTCGGGAGTGAAAGGATTTTCTAGTTTTGAAATTTTTGTTGGATTCCGAGACGTGGGCCCCGGGGCCGGGTTTGAGCAAGTTCGGAAATTGAGCCTAATTTGATAACTTTCGTGTGGGTTTCATTCCTTTAGCATGTATTGATGACAATATACTGATTTTGGTTAGATTCGGAGCATTTGGAGGCCGAATCGAGAGGCAAGGGCATCACGAGTTAGAGTTTTGGCTTGGTTTGAAGCAAGTAACGCTTCCAAACTTGGTGTTGAGGGTTCCAAACCCCGAACTACGTGTTCTATGATAAATATTGAGGTGACGCAAATGCCAAGTGACGGGCGTGTAGGCGTGCACCGTGAGAATTGCGACCTGGATCATTCCATGGCACCGCTTAGCGAATCTTTCTTGCCGATACCTGTGTAGTGATTATGTGATTAAGTTAATGAGTTGTAAATCATGCTAAATATCATGTTAAGGCTTCACACTGATAACTGTTGAGACCCGAGAGGTCGTTTCTTGTTGTCATATCATTAGCTTCATTGGTATTCTGTACCCAGTCTTGTTCATGCATATAATATCATGTCTCAGTCTCGGTTATTGTTATTTGGCATATCCTGTCATTGTTTCGGGCTACTATTATGGCATCGTGAGCCCGTGTGTGAGAGAGACTGGAGAGTGATGAATAAGTAAGGCCGAGAGCCTGATTATGAGTGACAGTATGGGATAGGGCTGCACGCCGCAGCAAATTATTGATTATGCCTTCATTGGCTTATTATAGGGCTTTGGCTGAAAGGAGCCCCTCTGGAGTCTACACACCTCCAGTGAGCGTAGTTGATATTATTGAGGGATGGATCTTCCCTGGACATGGATCTTGTCCGAAGTATTTATAATTGGAGATGGATCTTCTCTATAGGGCTAGAATGGCCTTCCTGGGTACTGGATGACTGTGGTCTGTGATATGTATATATTCAGGGATGGATCTTCCACTGGGCCGGATGACCATATACGGTACCGAGTGGTTGAACACTTGAGAGTACATGGTACATTTTTCATGCTTTCTGTGCATTGGTACGTAGAGATTTGTTGAGCTTTATACTCTACACTGTTCAGATCGTATTTACTTTCTGTTGAGTTGAATACTTGAACTGCAAGCATGCCTACTTTACTGTACAGTTTCATTGTGTTACCTGTTGAGGTTCGGTTCGTCACTATCTTTCAGTCCATAGTTTGGACTTGTTACTTACTGAGTTGGTGTACTCACGTTACTCCCTGCACCTTGTATGCAGATTCAGGTATATCTGGGCGCAATAGCGGGTGTTGACTATTCCAGTTGCGGATTTTCATGGAGATAGCGAGGTACCTGCCTGGCGATCACAGTTCCACTTTTCTCCTTCTCTATCTTCCTTTTAGTACATTGGTTCTATTTCCAGACCATTTGGGTCTTGTTTTGTTTCGAAACTATCGTAGCATTGCTCATGACTTAGTGACACCCGAGGTCGGGCTTTTACTTTCCGCTTTTATTTTGGTTTTGACTTTATATCTTTTATGGAATTTCAGTTGAAAATGATTTTATTTAAGTTTTAAAAGAAATGTAAATTATTTTGGAAATGTGTCGGCTGGCCTAGTTTCACGATAGGCGCCATCACGACCGGGTCAGTTTTGGGGTCGTGACAAGTTGGTTCAGAGTCTAGGTTACATAGGTCTCACGGGTCATGAGCAGCTTTAGTAGAGTCTCGCGGATCGGTACGGAGACGTCTGTACTTATCTTCGGGAGGCTGCAGAACCTTTAGGAAAAACTTCACATTCTTGAATTCTTGTAATGCGAATCTGTTGATTCTGGTAACTAAACTTCTATTATTCTTTTCTCTCATAGATGGTGAGGACACGTGCTACCTGTCGGGGCGAACGACCACCAGTACCTCCAGTTGGGGCCACTAGAGGCCGAGGTCATAGTCGAGGCCGTGGTAGGGGCAGTGGTGTAGCCCGCACAACAGATAGGGCAACACCTATAGATCCACCAGCCGCCCTAGTTCATGATCAGGTTCCAATGGAGGATGCTCCAGCAGGACTAGCTCAGGCACCGATTGTGCCTATTGTTATTCCGGGTCTTCAGGAGACCTTAGCTTAGATCTTGACCGTTTGCTCTAGTCTTGCACAGACGGTCATAGTTTCTATTACAGCAGCCGCTTCTCAGGCCGGGGGAGGCACTCAAACTCCCGCCACTCGTACACCTGAGTAGGTTGTTCAGGGATTACAGACACCGGAGGCACCACCAGCCTAACCGGTTGCACCTGCTCAGGATTATGTAGTACCAGTTATGCCTGAGGACGAGCATCATCGATTGGAGAGGTTTGGTAGACTTCAGCCACCGACTTTCAGTGGTTCAGAGGGCAAGGATGCCCAGGGTTTCTTGGACAAGTGCTAGAGGATTCTTTGTATAGCGGGTATTCTGGAGACCAGTGGGGTCGCATTTACTACTTTTAGTTTTTTGGAGCTGCCTTCACTTGGTGGGAAGCTTATGAGAGGCATAGGCATGTTGGTGCAGCGCCCCTTACCTGGCATCAGTTCTCCATTCTCTTCTTGGAAAAGTATGTACTGCATTCCTGCAGGAAGGAGCTGCGTATGAAGTTTGAGTAGTTGCGTCAGGAGGACATGACCGTGATGCAGTATGAGATAAGGTTCTCCGAGTTAGCCCGTCATGCTAGCTGGATAGTTCCCACGGATAGGGAGAGGATCGGGAGGTTCGTTGATGGCCTCACTTATCAGCTACAGATTTTTCTGACCAAGGAGAGGGTATCTGGCGGTTCTTTTGAGGAGATGGTTGACATAGCCAGAGAGATAGAGTCAGTTCGGCGTCGGGAGAGAGTTGAGAGGGAGGCCAAGAGGCCTCGGGGATCTGGTAGTTTCGATGGTGTTCCTTCGGGAGGTCAGTTTCAGCACGGTAGAGGCCGTCCATTCAGACATGCTCAGCCAGCTCGTTCGGGTCACCGTGGTGGATCATCTGGCCATGGTTCTCACAGTTCACATCAACGTCACTCATCTCTCAGTGCCCTTCCAGCTCAGAGTTTGACTCATGCACCATCAGTTCGGGGTTCATCTATGCTTGGTTCTTCTAGCGGGCATCCCGGTGTTCGGGGCTCCCTTCAGTCCCCACCGCCATTTGCTGGGAGAGGTTTCGAGTGTGGAGATTTGGATCATATTAAGAGGTTTTGTCCCCGTCTTACGAGAGGTTCATCCCAGCAGAGGAGTCAGCCTTCGGCTTCAGCACCAGTTACTTCCCCACCCGCCCAGTCAGCTAGGGGTGGAGGACAGTCAACTAGGGGTCGCCCTAGAGTGGGAGGCCGATCAGGCAGTGGTTAGGCCCGTTTCTATGCACTCCCAGCCAGACCAGATGTTATTGCTTCAGATGTTGTGATTACAGGTATTGTCTCAGTCTACCATAGAGATGCCTCTGTGTTATTTGACCTCGGTTCCACTTTTTCATATGTGTCATCATATTTTGCTCGTTATTTGGATACGCCCCGTGAGTCTCTTGGTTTCATCTGTTCGTTTATCTACTTTGGTGGGTGATACTATTGTTGTGGATCGCTATATCGGTCTCGTGTGATGACTATTGGGGGTTTGGAGACTCGAGTGGAACTTGTGTTGCTTTGTATGGTGGATTTTGATGGGATATTAGGCATGGATTGGTTATCTCCGTGCCACGCTATTTTGGATTGTCATGCTAAGACAGTGACGTTGGCTATGCTACGTGTGCCACAGATTGAGTGGCGAGGTTCGTTAGATTATGTTCCTAGTATGGTAATTTCATTCTTGAAGGCCCGGTGGATGGTTGGGAAGGGCTGTCTTTCTTATTTGGTCTTTTGTGAGGGATGTCAGTGCAGAGACTCCTAGTATCTATTCAGTTCCAGTAGTGAGGGACTTCCCGGATGTGTTTCATGCAGTCTTGCCGGGCATGCCCCCGGATAGGGATATTGACTTTGATATTGATTTGGTGCCAGGCACTCAGCCCATTTCTATTCCACCATATCGTATGGCACCAGCGGAGTTGAAGGAGCAGCTTCAGAAACTCCTGGATAAGGGGTTTATTTGGCATAGTGTGTCACCGTGGGGTGCGCCTGTTCTATTCGTGAAGAAGAAGGATGGCACTACGAGGATGTGTATTGATTACAGGCAGTTGAACAAAGTCACAATCAAGAACTAGTATCCTTTGCCTCGTATTGATGATTTATTCGACCAGCTTCAAGGAGCGAGAGTGTTCTCCAAGATTGATCTCCGGTCAGGGTATCACCAATTGAAGATCAGGGACTCGGATATTCTTAAGACATCTTTCAGGACCCGATATGTTTATTATGAGTTCCTTGTGATGTCTTTTGGGCTGACTAATGCCCCAACATTGTTTATGCAATTGATGAACAACGTGTTTCGGCCCTATCTCGACTCGTTTGTTCTTGTATTCATTGATGATATTCTGGTATACTCGCGTAGTCAGGAGGAGAACACCAAGCATTTTAGAGTTGTATTGCAGCGGTTGAGGGAGGAGAAACTTTAT